CAACAAATTAGATCCCTTGTGGCTCTAGAATGAGCTCTGCTGTCCGAATCAGAGGTTAAAACAGCCAAAACAAATTTTGTACCTTTAACATAAAGCTAAATTTCCTCACATCTCTCAGAAAGAGAGCAGCACTGCTGCCTGTCCTCATCACCAGAGAACTTATCTAAATCAAATTTAACAGGGACTGAGCAGAGGCTTGGGTCAATTTTCAGAGTCCTGAAAATTCAAACACTAATGTATAAATTCTGTGTGGTTTCAGAACATTTGCGTGGAGAATAAGCAACCATGGAAGGCTGTGACCTTCCCAACTGACTTCTAGCTTCAGTTCAAAAATGCCTGCTTTGTGTGGAATAATACAGAGGATTCTGTATATTAAGTGACAGATGCACTATTTTTATCCACAGGAAACAGCAATTGGCATTTCATTACAGATGCTCTCACCTCACACTCACTGAAATGTTCTATTTCAGGCATCACAGAGAACAGCAGAGCACACATGGGCTTGAAGGAACTATCCTTTCCCAAGGTCCTAAGGAGATGGTAGTGGGGAAAGGGGATTAAAAATGTAGGAAATCATATACATTATAAGAGACAAGCAGAACAAATGACAAAAATAGCTGTTGTCAGCCTAGGCAGAATTTAACCAGCTAGTGTGTGTTTACATGAGTTATTTTACAGAAGAGCAGAGTTCCCAGAGGCCCTGGTTTGGCTGAAGCTGTATTCTGTGGCTTTCATGTTGCTGTGCTGAAGAGTTGCCCAAAGCTGCTGCATGGAAATCCCCAGGCACCTTGCAGCCAGAAAGGTGTTTCCTCTTAAAGGCACAAGCTCTGCTGAGAATCATCTCTAGTGTGAGAGGCATCATTGCTTGATCTCAGTCTGTAACTTGGCTGAAAATCCCAATTTCTCTACACCCTCTCCCATGTGTGCACCACAGAGAGTACAAATACTGCAGTTTATACTTCAAAATCTGTTGTTCTTTCTCCTCTGCTGGATATGGGTATAAGCTGTCATTTGCCAAGAAAACATGGCTGTAGGTTTGTCATCACCTTTTTATAATTTCTTTTATGAGTAGAAACTAGGAAATGGTGATGCAGCTTTAATTTTTTTAGTTAAAAAAGTGGCATACATCGTTTTACCTATTGACTCAGTGGATCCTAAAATGTTTCAGGGTTTTAACAAAGAAAAAGAAGAAAACACTGGAGGCTATTCCATAGAAAGCTGCTGCTGGTGTAGCATCCTGTGAACTTACTGATTGCTATGGCTAGAAAATTATTTAGAATAAATATCTTCATATGTTTGCCCTATTGTTCTAGATCCTTCCCTTAGGTTCCAGTATTGTGGACAGAATATTAATCTGAGCCTGTGTGTCCCTCTTGCAGTCTTAGATTGAAGTGTGTGCATCCTTCTGTGCCTTGGAATGAGCTTGCCAAGGCATGTAGCAACTGCTGAGTGAGAGCTGTGCCATGGGCTGGGAAGAGGAGCCTCCCCCTCCCTATGGGAAGGAGTTTGTACCAGCTGCAGTGCTTTTGGCAAGGACAAGCAGCCAGGCTATTGAGTGACAGTGTCCTTTGCCTGTTAGCACTTAGAGGGAACTTTTATTTCCTGAGCTGGAAGCTAGCGTGTTTACTCTGTCAGGGCTATCCAGCACCAGCTTCTTTCAGAAACCCCATCTTGGCTTTTTTTAAAAATCAGAAGAGGTGCAGTGTGTCTGCCTTGCTGGTTTTGGTGCTGTCAGACACACTCTGACCTGTGCAGGACAGACAGGAGCAGTGAGGCCCTGCCTGTCAGTCACACCTCCAGCAGCAGCACTCACACCTTGTCCCCTGCTAGTCCTGAGGTCAGAGTGGCTCTCGTTTCTGGGCTGGGGAGTCTGCACTGGACACCCCAGGTGTCTCTTTCAGCAGGTCACTGATGTCACTGCTGCTGCTCACACTGAAGTGCCCTGTGTGCCCGGCCTGCAGCTGTCCCTGCCAGGCTTGGGACAAAGCTCTCCATCAGAGGAGCTGGAGCCATGCTTGGGGAGCAGCCCAGGGATACAGGATGGCATCCTGATGGCTGCTGTCACCTAGAGTTTTCTCAAACCAGGAGAGAGTGGTCCCAGAGTTGCTGTTACATTCCAGTAAACCTTCCCTACAATCTTTCTTTTGAGTCAGCAGCATATTCCTTCATCTGTGTCTTCAGTGAGCAAAAATGGGCAGTAAAATCTATTTATACACTTAGCTGAGTTCAGCAAGTTGCTCTGGCTGAAGCAGAATTTGGGGGGAGAAGGAGCAAGCCTGGAAAAATGATGAAATTGCTCTTTTCTTGAATTCAAAAATAAAAGCTTTTAAAATATAGGGGAGGCTTGGGAGGGAACTGTCTTCTGCAGCAATGGCCACTACCTGGTGCAGTGTGCTGTCACCTTCTCCAAGCTGCTCTGGTGCTGGCATTTATTCATCGTGCTTATTCCCTGCACCTTGTTTTGTGCCTATCCTGACTGTGCTGAAATATCAACCTCAGCCTTGCAGTTGTTTCTCTTAAGGTCTTCTGGGAATTTTCTCATACTGGAAGGTTTTGGGTGTTTGTTGTGCATGCATTTTTTATGTTCCTTTTATTGATTTTTTTGAAAGGGTATCAGGTATCCTCCTGATATTGGGAACTACTGGGGTGTGAAATAATTTCCCAGGAGAAGTGGCAGAAAGCCTTAGTATCTGAGATATTAAAAGGTGGCTAAATTTAAGACTAGAGGATAATAATTTTGCATTAGCAAGAAAATGACTGAATGATTTAAAATTAGTAATTCCTGCTCCTCTCCCATACATAGCATGGCACAGGAAGGTCTGCAAAATGTTCTGCAAAAAAAAAACCTGGAAACTACTTTTTTTCCCTGGTGATTGTCAGATGGAAGTTTTAGGTACAAATACATTTGATTTTAAGAAGTACTGCTACCAAAGCTGCATTTGAAGATGTGAGCAGCCTGTTCAGCCTGTCAAGTACTTGTAAATTCTATTAGGACCTAGTATGCTAAATGATAATAGGGAGTCCTATAAGGAGAAAACACTTGGAAAAATGCACTGGGACAGTTGTCCTTTCAAGCTTTTCTTATTACAGGGAGTACGTAGATTCCCTCTCTCAAGTCTCTCTGAAGGACTGGCCTTGGCAGTCCTTTATATGACACTGCAATCAGTGTCATATAAACAAGCAGAAACTTCACACTGAGAACACACAGACACAGAAAATTCAACCATTTTAAGGCATCAAAACCAAACATTGCATTTTCTTGTGTTGTTCCAGCCCTGGACAGACTTTAGTTTTCTCTGATTTTTTGTTTGCCCTGGACAGTGCCCTTCACCGTCTAATTCCTTAAACGATCAGAGGATGCTGGATGAGAGAGAGCTGAGTGTCCTCTCTGCTCCAGAACAGGAGCAGTGAGACACTAGCTCTGATAAAAACATCAGTGCAGAGCTGGTGTCTCCCTGACCAGGTGTGGCTTATGGAAACACAGTAAATCAGCTCTGCAGCACAGCTTTGTTCATGTACTCAGCCTTCCCTCCATGCCAAGCTTTAAAATTGCCGGATCAAAGTGGAGCTGGGCCCAAGTCCAAACTTCCCCCAGCTTGAGGGGAACTTGGATCCATATCCCAACACTGGGACTTGGCTCTGCTTCTAAATCAAGCTCCCATAATCTCTTGGGAAAAGGCAGACCCATGAATTGTCCACTAAGTTACTGAAGGGCAGCCAAAGCTGCTTGTTGCTGAACACATTTGCTCTGCCTGCCCTGTACTGCCAGTAAAGGAGTTTAGGTGAAGCCTTTCCTTAATCCTGAAATGCTGATCTTAGCCTTTGGGTTGAGAAAAACCCATCCATCCTTAATCTGATGTTTTAATTTCAGAATATTTCTTCTTCTCCTTCCTTTTCACCAGTTAGCCAGCAGGAAGGCAGAAGCCATCTCCTAGGACTGTGGGATCCCTGGCTCAGGGGCCAGGCAGAGCTGGAGCACTGGCAGGGAAAGCCTTGCACATCCTCCTGGCATTGCCCAGCACTGGGGTTGGCACAGCAGTGTCTGTGCCAGCCTGGCAGAGTCCCAGCGGTGCTCCAGGATCGCTGGCACCTGCCTCCCATGGCACAGCAAGGCTTTGGGGTCAAGCTTTCCCATCAAATATGGACAGGAAACCACTTGCACTGGGAGTGATAAATCAATGGGAAATCAACTAAGAAATGAGATATGGGATGGAGGAGGGGAGCAGGCCCCAGGGATCAATAGAGCTGTTTTGTGTTTAGATTGAGGTCTTCTCTTTCAGGATTCTCTTCTGTGACCCCACATCTTCATCCTCCACCTTATTACTGTATTATTACTTGTTACAATAATGACAAAATGTCTCATTATTGCTACTGCCATCAATAATAGCAGCAGTTTATCAGCAGTGTTTATTAAGTTAAATTCCATACCAGCATCTATCTTCTCCTCCCAACACAATTTATACATAATTTAAGATAGTAATGGAGGAGACAGAGAAAAATAGATGTCATCTTAGTGTATTTCAGTAGTTCCATTGAATTATTTCAAATTAGGTACCTTCAAAGAGATTTATATTTTGTTTTCTTAGGCTAAGCCTTTTTTCCTGCTGCAGAAGATGATTTTTGGGGTCTTTCTGCTGTCACAGTCTCTCAGTGTTCACCAGCTTTCCAGAATTGCCAAACCTCCATCCTAAAAATTTCACAACCTTTTCCTTTCTCTTTTTTCATCATCTTTTAGTCTGCTTTTGGAAGCAAATATTAAGCATTAAGAATCTTGAAATAAAAAAAAATTCTCAGGAAAGGACCTGCCGGCAGTTTCCAAATAAAGACTGTGAATCTCACTGTGAAGGACTGTGGTGTTTCCCCACTTTCCCTGGACATTGTGAAGAGCTGTGTAATGCACTGAAGTGAGTAGCTGTGACCCCATCCATAGGCAAAACACAAGAGTCTGATATTTCTTCCAAAATCATTTTGTTTGCAGTAATAATAAAAGAATTCCTTACTTGATTTCTGTTTGTCCTCCTGCTTTTCGGGCAATTTGAACCAGCTCTTTCCCGTATCTCTCTTCTGCTTGTGCTCTGTTAAAAGAAAAACTCAGTTTCTCTTAGTGGTACCAGGATCACATTTACACAAATCTTGTAATTGTATCTGAGGTGCAAAACATCAGAAATGCAACTTATTTAATTTCTCTATCTCCTCAATCCTAGTGCTGTTAGTTAACCTCTGAAATATTTTAGTTATTTAAGTTATTTCTGGAAGAAATGAGATAAAAATGAAGCCCATCTGCATGGCTTTGATTACTGTGGAATGCTATGTACAGCTCTTCCCCCAAAACGTGGATTCATGGGAAGAAGGAAGTGAACAGTGATGAGATGAAGTTGTTCAGGGCAGAGCAAAAGGAACCTAAAAATGATGGCTGACTTGATCCATGAAAACACTGGCTGTGAGGGGACTGAAGAGTAGTTTCCAAAGCATCCATTCAAGAGATGTTGAGAATAAATGGGAGCCAGGGATAGCAGGAACATTTCTGTCCCTTAAAAAGATGAGGCACTGCTGGAAGAGCTGCCATGGAAGCCGAGGGGGAAGGAGCCCTGGTGGCTGTGTGGTTGGTGAAGCTGGGGCAGCTTTGTGGAAGGGACAATCTGTGGTATCTCACCTAATGGGGAACTGTAACTGGTGACTCAGGAAAGTGGTTCTGTTTCTATGGTTAATAAATACAAATATTCCTTTGCTGTTTTCCCTTCCCCTAGCACTGGAGCAAAGTTCTGTTCTCTTTAAAAAAAAGTATTTGTACTAAATGGTTTAGTTCCTTTCTCCTGGGTGCAAGCCCAGGGTAGAACCAAGTTGTCAGTCTTTGAGTAGCTGCTAAAAACTATTGATGATCAATAATTAATAATGAACAGATAGCCTGGTCCTAGCACCTGGGGGGAGGGATGTTTTTGTTTAGGTTAATTCCAGTTCTCAAAAGCAGTTTCAAAGCATTTCAAACTGTTTTGGCCTGACAGTTGGCACCTTAGAGAAATGTACCCTTTGTTCAAAAAATGAATTTGATGTGGGTGCAAGGCCCTACAACCCTGTTGGGATTTAGTCCTATCAGTCTTCCTGCTTGGCCAGGAGGTGCTTTGTGTGTTTTTGCTGAGTTACAGCAGTTTGAGGGCTGCTCTTGAAGTTTTACGCCATGGCAGCTGTTGGGGTGGGTCCCTGAGATGGTCCCACCACCCTTCCTGATGCCCCTGGGCTTTGGGAGCACCTTGTCTCGTAGCCAAGGTGCTCAGGTGCAAATCCACCATCTCCTGGCACCCGAGGCAGGACTCTCCCCAGCCCAAGGAGATTAGTCAGGCTGCTGGAGCAGGAGTGCTGGCCCTGCAGCAGGAACAGAGAGTGTTCCTGGCCTCTGTCCATGGCTCCTATGTGTGGAATGCTGCATGTGCTGCCCTCAGAACTGCTGTGTTTTAGTGGGGTGTTCCTACAGCAGTGCTTGGCATTCCTGATAGAGGAACAGGGTACAAAATGTGGTGACAGGCCACACAGAGACACCACTTCCTTTTCATGTTAGATGAATGACATTTCATCAAAATGCAAATACACTCCTGACACATAGTGCTGCAGAAGAAGAATACATTAATTTTCCTCTGATTTCAGTATCAGGAAACACTTCTGTGTCAGAGGCTTTGCTTAGTGCCAGTGCAGCAATAAGAGTTACTCGTGCTGCAGTCCCACTTTTCTTGCTCAGTATACAAGTATATCATGGGGAAAAAGCCTGGCCAGCTTTTACACCAGTGCCAGCTCCTGAAACCTCAGCATGTACTGGATTGGACTAGCCCAGGGTCAGAGGAATTTGACAGGAGGCTGATACCATCTATTCACATCTTCATGCTGCTTTTCCCACTTTCCAGTACTCCTGCACACCATTTCTAGGTTTCCCTGCAGCCATCCAGAGATGGAACATACTTTGTGTTTTAACCCTGGGCTTTGTTATGGAATACAATTGCTTTCTCACTCCCAAACCTCTTAGGCCCTTCTCTGGGCCAGTTAGGGGGATTTATGGTTGGAAAACTGAGTGTTAATGTGGCCAGGGCCAGGGCAGCTGGTTTCAGGACTGCAGGAGTCATGGGAAGCCTCTAGAAAGAGAGATTCATCCCATCCTTTGATCTTCTGCTGGGTCATTCCTGTGAATGATGTGAAGATGAGTTGAAACAAACACCTGCCAGCAATAAACTGGAAATCACATCTTTGACTCAGCGCCCACTTCTGGTCTCCTTTTCCTCCTCCCCCAACAGGCACGTACACACACAGGCACACACGTGCACACACCCTCTGCAATGTCTTGGGGGTGTAAAAAACATCTTGGAAACTTTTCCAAAATGACTGTACATGTATTTTTTCTTCTTTACGGAAAGAACTTCATGCCTCCACCATAAACCAGGAAAAAACTCATCCTGCAACTTTCAGAAGGCTCTGCAATGTTTTGGAAGGAACACAGCCGTGTGCAGCATCCAATGCAGAATTGCCCTGCCCAAGGCCTGCAGTGCAGTTCTGATCTCTGTAAGTTACGAGGCACAAAGATGCTGTTTTAAACAGTTGCATCTAAGCTGCCATCAGGCAGATGTGACTTCAAGGACTGTGTGATGTGTGCCAATATAACAGGCTCCCACTGGTGGTCGAGAAAAGCAATTTAAATAGCTTCAGGTTTTGATGGGACACTTCACATGCTGTGAAACAGCTTTTGAGTCTGACAGCTCACACTCCCTTGAAAGTCCCAGGGCTTTAAAATCAGCCATCAGAAAACCACACTAAACCTAAGAAAACTAGATGGGGATAGTATGGGAAGAAAAAGCAGGAAGGCAGACCAATATTCATAAGGTGACAGTGCTGAGATAAACTGTTCTGGGATTTCCTGCTGGATATATAATCCATATTTATGTCGTCTTTCCTACATGTCAAGCCTGAGGAAGTGTGTGCTTCATGCTACATGCTGAAACTGCTGAAGCCACTTAAAAACAGCACCAAACTTCAGAGCTGTTTTTCAAAGTCACACCTACAAAAATGAATGCCAAAGGATCCAGAGCAGCAGTGTTATTTTCTCACCCACAAAATTGTCAACTGCCCATAGCTGCTGTTGAGAAAGCACCAAGAAGCACATAATCAGGAACATAAACTACAACGTCGTTACTCAAACCTGCTAAGGTTGGTGAACATCAGGGACTGGTTTGGATGTCTGGGTAAGGCTTTAGGTAGCATTTTATGTAGCTTTGTGTTTGAAAAACGTCTCATTTTTGGTACTGGCAGGAAACTGAAACAGTGCCTGTGGCAACAGCATGTTCAAAGAGAAACAAAAATGTGCAAGTCATTTTTGCCCTGCAAACGGGAAAATTTAGAAATGTTACTTGTGGATGTAGGTGCTACTGTGTATTTCTAGACCCATAATGAAGGGTTTTAGTGGAGCTCTGGGTTTCTGACTCTTTCAACCTTCCCTTCTCAAGTCCTTGAGATTTCTGTTTATCCACCTTCACATCACAAGGCTGGGATTCATATTACTCAGTCTTTTCTATGTAAGTTCATAACTACCAAACTGAGAAACAGCCTGCTATTCCCTTCCAGATGCCAAATGAGATGAAAAAGGAGGCTGTGATTTTCATACCTCTGCTTGAGCAAATCCTCCACATCTTTGCACATCTTCTTCCCCTCCAGTAGCCGCTGTACGAGCACCTCATAGCCAGTGTGGAAGGTGAACTCCTTGCACTGAAAACAGAAAAAAAGGTAATAGCTGTTAAGCACATCAGTTCCTCTTACCTTAATTCTAATTCTTATTTCTTAATTCCTCTTACCATATTTTCAGAAAAAAAGAGTCAGCTCAGTACAAATATCAGCCTGAGGGCAGTGACTGTGCCACCTGGTCAGCAGTGTTGTTTTAATGGATTTGTAGCACAGGGAGACAGGATTTCTGTTCTACCCCTGGTCCTCTCACTGCCTCACAACAGGATCAGGACAGGCCATTTTTCCACAGGGAGCCTGAGTTAACCAGTACATAGAAATAGCATTATTGAAAATGTAGTGGTGAATGTTTTCTGAGCTTTATGTTTCAGCATTATGGTAAAATCACAGGCTGTGAAACCATAAAGAGAACGAGTGTGTTCCTTCCCTCAAGCACTTTATCTACAATACAAGCCCTTATATATGAACTGAATGCAGTTTATACATGCATCTGTATAAACTGTCCCCTAAGCAGTTACCATTTAATAAATGGGTTGCTTTATTGCTTTCCACCACCACTTGTGAAGAAGACAGCTGTTTAAGTTTTGGTACTTGGAAAAGATCCTCTGGCAAGCAACTGCTTGGGCACTTGAGCTTGTGCCTTTGCTTCCTTGTTGCTGGGACTGGAGAGGAGCAGGGGAGCTCTGGGGGTGAATGCTGGTGGTTGATGGCAGCCTTGCAGGCCTTGGGATTTCTGGAGATTTGCAGATCTAGGAACAGGGGTTTTTGGTTCTTCAAGAGCTAGGATAAATTTCTGCAGACAATCCCTGTAAACCTACAGGTTGTAGTAACATTTCCAGTGCTACAGTTCATTGTAAAAGCCATCACCCCTGAAGAAACAGGATCTCAAGCCCAAAACATTTGTTTTCCTAATGTTTCCAAGGGTAATTTACACACACATCACAGGGAGGGATCCTGCTGTGAAATAAATGAGAAGCAGCAAGTTTTGCCATTCAGAGAGAAAAGTAGGAAAGGTTCTTGATAATACTCTGGCAATGAACTTAGCACTTCCCCCTCTCTCTTGTTTTTGAGGACATTCCAATGGCAGAAGGCATCACTGCTGTAGAAAAATTACTATAAATGGCTCTCTCTGCCTGGCAGAAACTCTGGTCAGATGTTCCACAACCAACTCACACCCGCAGCATTTTAATTGTGTATTTTCAGATGCAATCAGCTATGTCCCACAGCTGTGCACACAGCTTTCTTGTCCCAGAAATGCTGCCCATGAGGTAAGTGAAAATATCCTGTGGGTTGGTATCACCCCAGCAGTCAGCCACTGCCACAGGCAGCAAAGGCAAAGTGATCAGCTCACTGTGAAGCTAGTCTGCCTTTCTGTTCAATATCTCTCTTTGCTCAGTAAATCCTAAAACTCACTTGGTGTCTTTCCCCACCTCTTTTAAAATGGCACTGTAACAACTGTAATATCATGTTACACTGAAAGGATGACAAATTCTTTATGTCTGAGAGAAGGCTGATTAAATTCCCTAAACTGAGAATGCAACCCCAACTTGTTATCAACGCAAAACCACACACACAAACACAGCAGTGTGCTGGGGGGCACAGGCCCCTTTCCTCAGGCCCCTGGAAGCATCACTGCCTCACTGCCTGCCAGGTTCCTCTGGGCTTTGTTCCTCTGGCTGGTCCTTGTAGAGAGATTTGGCTCCTAAGAAGGACTTCTACCACAGACACTCATGTAATCTATCTTGTTTTGAGGGGCATTCATCTCACAATTTGCTTTCTTGTCCTCCTCTGTGTTCCTGAAGAACGTGGAGGCCCTGTTCAGAAACACCAGGGTCAGAAACCCAAACCAGGGCTCGCAGGCAGCAGCTCTGGCTGTGCTCTGAACAGCTCGTGCCACCCACCCAGGCTGCAGAGGGAGCGAGAGGAAATGCCACAGCCAGGCTGAGACAAGTGTGAGCTGCTCTGGTCACTCATCCTGCAGCACTGCTTCTTAATTTCCAACCACAACACAGCTATGAATCACTCAGGCCTCAGCTTGCACACATGTTTCCCTTTCTTTTCAACAGCTCTATTTCTTCTTTCACGTGTTGTACAACTGCATCCCCTCTCAACATCTCCTTGCATCCAAGCAAACCTCCTTTGCCCTTTCCTGACATTCTGCTTTTTCATCCCACTGATTCCCATGTGTTGTTATAGCACCTGTTCAAGGTTGAATAAATCCCTGTTGGACAAGGATGATGCTTTACCACTCCAGTAAAGAATAAGTGGTGCTTTGTACCATGGCATTAATGTCAGCCCTCTAAGAAACACTTGTGGTTCATCAGAGGATTGTATTTGCCTTCTTCCACTATCAAATCATAGCAGTGGCACTCAAATGAGCTAAGATCTACAGATATACCTGCAATTCTCTGCTCTTCTGCTATTTTATTCAACAAGGTCTCAGAGTATATTGGATTTTTTTCACTACTGATCTCTTACTCCCATTTTGTACTTTGAAACTTTGATTTTTATCTCTTTTCTGTTACTCCAGGCTCAAAGGTTATCAGATACCTCCTGTACAATATTTCATTCTACCTGTTTATTTCAAGCACAGCTATTTGCAGCCCATTCTTCATGTCTCATGGCAGGATCCAGCACCTCCCCCAGATCAGTGTGTTTGCCCACTTCAGAGTTCTTCCCCTGCTTTGTCTGTTCAGTCCCATTTTGTTTTTATCTAGTGTCTTAAGGATTTCCTGTGTAACACCATAAGTGACCTCACATTTTCTTTGTCAAGACAATCAGACAGCAAGGCTGGATCTCATTAAACAACTGTCTAGCCTTGCTAAGCTGTCTCGCCTCTATTCTATTTTCCATTTACCATTTTGTGTTATAATTAGCACCCGCATTGAGTGGTTTTGCAAAAGCTGTTAAGCTGCACTACTCAGACAGTGCTTGCTACTTCTCAGAAAGGATTTTGTGATGATTCTAAGAACTAATGAATAGTCAAAGAACTATTATTTTTTTTTTAGAAATCAGAAAAAATGCTTTAATTAGATAATAAATATAGTCATTAAATGTGTAAAATATCATTTGCTTATACTGAAATCTAGTTGCTTGGAAGAGGGTGATTTAACTCACCACCAGCAATTTCTCTCATTGTCAAGAAAGGGATTCTCAAAGCGTGTGTGGCTGTGAAAGAGGATTTAATCCTTGTTACTAAAAAAGATTAGTTATTCCTTGTTGTCCAACAGGCCTATAATCACGAACAAGAAAGTGCTTGACAGGGATTTCAGTGTTGTGAGCAGAGCTGTGTTCCCCTAACTCTGCATGTGTGCTCTGGTCTCTGCCTGTGGATTTTCTTCTTTTTTTCTTCTTGAAAATCACAGGTAAAAGAGGGGCAGCATTTAGTCTCCTCTGCCCAGTGACAAAAGTTGCTTCCCTCCAGTGCAATGAGCAACACTGTTCCTTCAGAGACAAAATAAATGTGGAGGGGAGTGTATGACTGAAACCCACAATTTCTGTGCTCTAGTTTGAGCAGAACAGCTTATCCTAGAATACTTGGAAGGAGGAATGGAAGCCTGCAAGCAGTGGTGAAGACAGTGAGCACGCTGGGATACCCATTCCAAATGTTAATTGTGGGAGAGATTAGTCAGGGCTGGCTCTGAGCTGGTTCCCACAGCCATCAGGGAGAGGCTCTAAGGATTTGGAATTTGGTAATGAAGGCTGCAAGGGAAGACTGGGAGTGTCAGTTCCCTACCTAGGGGGTAGAAAGTACCAGGATTGCTGGGGGGTGACAATTTCCTCTTACCTTCTGGTGGCACCAAGCTGGGTAATCTTGTGTCTTTAGCAACTCACTGAGAATCAGCCTTATTCCAGAACACATTTCTCTGAGCCTTGTGCTGCTGGGTGCCCAGAGGGAACTGAGAGGCTTTTTGAAGTACAAGGGTTTACATTTTGAAGTGACAAGGCTACTATTGCAATAATATCAAGGAGGGAAGACTAAAATTCTGTGCTCATTACTGAAGCAGCTTTCAGTAAATAGCTTTTCCAATGCACTGGAAATAAAATCATCCAAACTCATGTACAAACACTTATGGTACACCCTGCACGTCCAGCTGGTGATGGTCACAGTGACATGACCTCATCAGGTCATTGTGGCTGTGCCATAGCAACTCTGGGCTTTTCTGCTGTGGCTGCTTTCCCTGGGGCATTTCTAATAATGCTGGCACTTGAGCTGCCCATCCAGGACCTTGTTCAGAGGTAGTTTACATACCACAACTCAGACCTCTCCCTGCTCCTGCAGGATTAGCTGGCTTGGCAGCACCTTAGCATCTCCCGCAGGGCAGCCGCTGCTGCTGAAGCCGTGTGTCCTGTCTGGGGAGTGTCAGGGCTCCTCCTGGGCTTGCTGCAGTGTTCTGGGAGCTGCAGCTCTGCTTCTCAGCATGGAAGGACTCATCCCAGCATCTCCAGCTGCAGCACCTGCTCACCTGCTTGCTGTACAGAACCGGCTCCAGGTGGTAACAGGGACAATAACCCCAGGGTACAGCAGGGCAGTGGCACCACCCTGATGGGGAGAAAGGGCTGGAAAAGGAAAAACTCCACAGCAGACACTGGGTGCGTTGCTCAGTACCCAGCAGGACAGTGCTGAACTCTTCTGGTGATAAACAGAGCATCAAAGTCCACACATGGTACCTGCTCTGCACCTCTCAGGGGGGCCTGGCACAAGCACTGACAGCCACAGCAGAGCTCTCAGGGGTTTCTTCAGCCTAACCTGCCCTCATTTAGGAATTATTTGAAATGTATTATCTGCCAATAGTAAATATATATATATGTATATTTTTAAACCCCCACACTTTCTCTTAAGTTTAAAGTATTTAGTTAGAAAAGTTCATTCCTCGTCTTGGTTCCTAATGATATTTTTCCAAAGCTAGTATCAGAAGTGTTCTCACACGGTTTTGGACTGAAAATGCTAAATGTTGCTACCTGATCCAAATAATCTATTAATACAGATTTTCTAAGAGAAAAATAATTGAAACTGAATCTGTTAT